TGGGAGGCAATCAAGACTATGAGACTTGGAGCAGATCGCGTGAAAGAGGTGAATGCCCAAAAGCTTCTGACTGAATTCGAGCAGATCGCGTTCAAGCCGGGGGAAACAATCAATGATTTCGCCATCAGGATCTCGAAGATCGCCATTGATCTGGAGGGTTTAGGGGAGAAGATTGAAGACTCCCGTGTGGTGAAGAAATTCCTCCGTGTGGTGCCGGCACGCTACAATCAGGTAGCGGTCACAATCGAGATGTTTTGTGACATGAAGACGCTCACGATCGAGGAGCTCGTTGGTCGGTTACGGGCGGCTGAAGATCGTTTTGAACCCTCGGTGGAGACTGCCAAGCTCCTGATGACAGAAGAGGAGTGGATGGCAAAGAACAAGAGCCATTTGGTGCAGGAGTCGTCCTCGACATCGAGCCAAAAGGGCGGCGGTAGTCGCTACATCTGCAAGGACAAGTCTAGAGCGCGTGGCGGCGGAGATGCACGCGACTCCAGAGCGAAACTCACATCTATGGGGACTCCTAGAAGAAAAGGTAGATGCAACAAATGCAAGATCTACGGGCACTATGCGAAGGAGTGCAAAACAAAGCTCAAGGAGGAGAGACAGGAGGCCGTGCACCATGCCAACGACGACGTCGAGACGGGGGCACTCCTTGTTGCCCAAGTATGCACGGTGGTGCGCTCGTCGATCAAGAGCGCACCAAAAGTGTTCCTGAATCAGGAACGTGTGTTCCCGGCGGAGTACAATGAAGGCGCATGGATCTTGGACACAGGGGCCACGAATCATATGATGGGCTGTCGAGACGCGTTCACGAGTCTTGACGAGTCCGTGCATGGCGCTGTGCGGTTTGGAGATGGATCCACGGTGAAGATCCAAGGCACTGGAGCTGTCACCATCACCGAGAAGAACAACAATCAACGCGTACTCACAGAGGTATACTATATACCGTCTTTAAAGTGTAATATTATAAGTCTTGGACAGCTTGAAGAAGGTGGACACCGGGTCGAGATCGATCACGGAGTCATGGAAGTTTTTGAGCATCAGCGGGCTGCAGAAAAGCAGCGAGAGGTTCTGATTCGTGCAGAAAGGAAGAACTGTCTTTATGTAATGAAAATCAAGCTGAGCTCTCCAGTCTGTCTACTGTCCAAGATGGATGAAGAGGCGTGGTTGTGGCATGCAAGGTATGGGCATCTGAATTTTAGAGCGTTACAGACTCTTGGTGCCAAGGCAATGGTGGAGGGTATTCCTCTCATCAGGCGAGCAGAACAGGTCTGTGATGGTTGTGCGCTCGGGAAGCAGCACAGAGCACCGTTTCCTCAGGCTTCAGCATATCGTGCAACTGCCGGTCTTGAACTGGTGCATGGAGATTTGTGTGGCCAGATCACACCGCCGACTCCTGGTGGGAAGGAGTACTTTCTGTTGGTCGTTGATGATTATAGCCGGTACATGTGGCTAGAGTTAATAGCACGCAAAAGTGAAGCACTTGAATGTTTCAGGAAGATTATAAAGGCAGCCAAAGTAGAGTCAGGGAGTTAGCTCAAAGCTTTCAGAACGGACAAAGGGGGTGAGTTTAATTCAAGTGCCATGATAACGTTCTGTAGTGAATGAGGTATCAGGCACAGTACCACCACCCCGTACACACCACAACAGAATGGGGTTGTGGAACGGCGAAACCAAACTGTCGTAGAAATGGCACGCTGCCTGCTCAAGTCGATGCAGGTGCCTGGAAGATTCTGGGGAGAAGCGGTGATGATGGCAGTGTACATTTTGAATCGTTCGCCGACAAAGAGCTTGGTTGGCAAGACTCTGTTTGAGGCATGGTTTGGGCGTAAACCTGGAGTACGACATCTGCGTACCTTCGGCTGTGTGGCATATGCGAAGAAAGTTGGGCCAAGTCTGACGAAGTTGGCTGACAGATCAGTACCGGGTGTATTTCTTGGTTATGAACCTGGCACCAAAGGTTACCGTGTGTATGATCCAGCTCGTGACAAGTTAAGGGTCACCAGAGATGTTATCTTTGATGAGAAGAGGCCGTGGAATTGGGGGGAGAAAGGCAGCAGTATTAGCAAAGCAGTAGCAGCACCCTATACCTTTGATGTTCAGTATCCTGACGAAACTGAATCTTTTCCGACAATAGGATCTGGTTCAGAATCTGGTGGCGCTGATTCTATTTTTGATGGTGTTCCAGCTTCTCCTGCTGCGTCAATTCCACTACCTGATGATGAGGGGAGTGCAAACACATCTCCTCACACTCCGATCTCTGGGAGCACGGGATCAACAGCACCAGCAGTACCCATCCAGTGGGCAACTCCACCTTCAAATGCAACTAAAGCTTCAGATGGAAGGCCTGTTAGATACAGGACCATTTTAGACTTGTTTGACTCCACAGAAGAAATCCAATATATGGAATATGGTGGGGTTTGTTTGTCAGGTGCAGAAGAACCTGGATCAGTGGAGGAGGCTTTGAAAGAAGACTGCTGGAGAAGAGCTATGCAGACTGAGATGCAGTCAATTGAAGAGAATAGAACCTAGGAAGTTTCTGATCTGCCAGCTAAGCATAGAGCCATTGGGCTCAAGTGGGTTTTTAAAGTCAAGAAAAATCCTGAAGGGAAAATTGTAAAGCACAAAGCAAGATTGGTGGCAAAGGGCTATGCTCAACAGCAAGGTATAGATTATGATGAGGTGTTTGCACCTGTTGCTAGAATAGAAACAGTGAGAGTAATGTTGGCACTTGCAGCACAGGGTGCATGGCAGGTACATCACATGGATGTAAAATCTGCATTTTTAAATGGAGACCTGATAGAGACTGTATTTGTGCAACAACCTCCTGGTTTTGTGGTAGGCAAAGGTGACAAAGTACTGAAGTTGAGAAAAGCACTGTATGGGCTGAAGCAGGCACCTAGGGCCTGGAACTCCAAGCTAGATAAGGAGTTGATGAATCTTGGCTTTGTGAAAAGCAAGTATGAGTATGCTGTGTACAGGAGAAGTAACAAGAAATCATTTTTGCTTGTGGGTGTTTATGTTGATGATCTTGTGATCTCTGGGCCACATATGAGTGACATTATTCAGTTCAAGCAGGAGATGCAGAGAAAGTTCAACATGAGTGATTTAGGCCTTCTGAGTTATTACTTGGGGATTGAAGTAAAGCAGAAAGGTGATGCAATCACATTGAGTCAGAGCTCCTATGCACTAAAGATTTTGGAAAGTGCAGGCATGATGAACTGCAATCCATGTGCAATGCCTATGGAAGCTAGACTAAAACTCACAAAGAGTGTAGAAGATGAAGTTGTGAATCCTACAACATACAGGAGTATAATTGGAAGCTTGAGGTACATTGTCAACACCAGGCCAGATTTAGCATTTTCTGTTGGTGCTGTCAGTAGATACATGGAAGCTCCAAGCAAGCAACACTGGGCTGCTGTTAAACACATATTGAAGTACCTAAAGGGTACAGTTGAGTTTGGTTGCAGATATGAGCGTGGAGCTGCACTGAAACCCTTCTTGCTTGGGTATAGTGACAGTGATTTTGCAGGTGATACTCAAGATAGTGTCGATGTTTTACCACCGATAGCCTGCCACTGGGGTACCGTGGCAGTATCGTTCGGGCTTCAGCGTATGCTGAACTCGATGGTAAACGCAAGAGACAGTCGATTTATCCTGGTTCAGGCCCTCGATCGTAGATCGAGTAACGACCCTACGTCCAGTCGGCGTTTGCCTTTGCGTTGGATTGATTATGAAGTGTTATGTTGTACAATTGTCCTCCTTCAGGAGCCCTGCCCTCCTTTATATAGTCAGGAGGCCAGAGTCCTAATCGGTTTACAATGAGATTTCCTAATAGGATTACTTAATAGTTCTATTACTGAGATTACATGGGAAGAATCCTAGTTGAACTAGATCCTCTCTCTCTTGCGGGGTATCTGTGGGTCCCGCATCGACAGATAGGAAGAGCACTACTAGTGTGATTTATTTCCTTGGAGGTAACTTGATCACCTGGGCTTCACAGAAACAGAAGATAGTTGCTTTGTCATCCTGTGAAGCAGAATATGTTGCAGCAGCAGCAGCAGCCTGTCAAGGTGTGTGGCTTAGTCGGCTAATTGGTGATCTGTTGGGAACAAAGGAGGCGCCGATAAAACTGCTCATGGACAATATGTCAGCCATTGCCCTGAGTAAGAATCCAGTGCATCATGATAGAAGCAAACACATTGATACTAAGTTCCATTTTATTCGTGAGTGCATTGAGCAAGGCAAGGTGGAGATAGATCATGTTAGGACTGAAGACCAGCTCACTGATATATTCACCAAGGCTTTGAGAAGGGTGAGGTTTTTGCAGATGAGGCGGGCACTGGGCATAGTGAAGGTGCATCAAGTTTAGGGGGAGTTTGTTAGCTAAACCTGAATGCACGTCATGTAATCTTTAGTTTCCTATTATGGTTTAGATCATACATTAGTCAGTTAGGGGGTGGACATGATCGGAGGCGTGCTAGATCATGTATCAGCCCGAGTCGGTCCAGTTGTCAGCGTCATATCGTGTGCTGCGCACGCAGCGCGGGTCGCGGTGCAACGACATCGCGCACGGCACACGGTATGGCGCGGGGATACTTGGTCATCAAGGCCAAGATTGTATCTACATCATGAGTATAAATAGCATGAATAAAGGACCGTGAGAGCTGCGACAATTGCGGCAAAATACTTCTATCTTTCTCGTGTGCGTTTTCTATCTAATCTGATCTCGCCGTAGTCACCGTGATCACCACCGGCGTCGTGCTCCTGGGCTGTGGCCGATCAGGTTCCAACAGAGTAGGCCCACGAAGAGCAGGAAGCGCCTCTCCTCGTCCGCGTAGAGCTCGCCGACGTCCACCGTGGCGTCGATGCGGCTCTCGTAGCTGCCGGACTTGACCTCCCGGAAGCGCACGCCGGGGTGCAGGCACTCGAGGGAGATGCGCGCCTCCTCAGTCCTCACGCTCTGAGAGAGGGAGCTCGACCGGTTGGGCTGATCCATGGCGGCACACGAAGGCACCAACCGCGTGGCGCCGATGGAGGTCGCCGTGGAGGCCGGGAACGCCGGGGAGACCGCGTGGCTGGACGACGACGGCCGGCCCCAGAGCGCCGGCACGTCCGTCATCGGCTCCGGGGTGCTCTCCCTGGCCTGGGCCATCGCGCAGCTCGGCTGGGTGGCCGGCCCGGCCGCCATGCTGCTTTTCGCCCTCGTCACCTACTACACGGCCACGCTGCTCGCCGAGTGCTACCGCACGGGCGATCCGGAGACGGGGAAGCGCAACTACACCTACATGGACGCCGTGCGCTCCAACCTCGGCGGCGCGAAAGTCGCGTTCTGCGGCGTGATCCAGTACGCCAACCTCGTCGGCGTCGCCATCGGGTACACCATCGCGTCGTCCATCAGCATGAAGGCCATCAGGAGGGCTGGATGCTTCCACACCCACGGGCATGCTGAACCGTGTAGCAGCTCCAGCATCCCGTACATGATCGTCTTTGGCGCCGTGCAGATCGTCTTCTCGCAGATACCGGACTTCGATCAGATTTCGTGGCTCTCCATCGTCGCTGCCGTGATGTCCTTCACCTATTCTTCCATCGGACTCTCCCTCGGCATCGCACAGACCAGCTGTAAGTCCTTCATTCCTTCAATCCGGCTTGTCAAGAAATATTAATTCATGGTGTCATTTCGTTGCTCAGTTCAGTTACTAAACGGTTGTTTCAACTGTTGCAGCTAATGGTGGGTTCAAGGGAAGCCTGACCGGCATCAGCATCGGTGCCGGCGTCACCTCCACACAGAAGGTCTGGCACAGCCTGCAGGCCTTCGGCGATATCGCCTTCGCCTACTCCTTCTCCAACATCCTCATCGAAATCCAAGTAAGCATCAAGACCTCTATAGAGCTCTCCTCTGTTTCCATCACCCAGAGATTGCTCTGTTCCTAATCAACGTTGCTCTGTTTCTCCAGGACACGATCAAGGCCCCGCCACCGTCGGAGTCGAAGGTGATGCAGAAGGCGACGCGTCTTAGCGTGGCGACCACGACCATCTTCTACATGCTGTGCGGGTGCATGGGGTACGCAGCGTTCGGCGACGCCGCGCCGGACAACCTTCTCACGGGATTCGGCTTCTACGAGCCCTTCTGGCTGCTCGACGGAAGTGGCGCCGTCCATGGAGGTCGAGAGGGAGCGCGTGCGCGTGGAGGCGGCGGAGGACATGGCTCTGGGTGCACCTACCTCGACACCGCGACCGAGCAGTCGGTTGACGTGGCCGGCGAGGACGCCGTGGTCCTGCGGCCATTGGAGGCGGCGGAAGTGGCGCCATCCATGGAGGTCGAGCGGGAGCGCGTGCGCGTGGAGGCGGCGGAGGACATGGCTCTGGCGTGGGCCGCAGCCAAGCGCGGCGCCTACGCCGAGGCCGCGCGCATCCTCGACGCCTGCCAGGATCTGCTGAGCCGATCGGCGCCGCGCCGGTGCTGTCCGGCGACCCGTTGTGCAAGGCGTTGGTGGCCGAGCTGCGCGAGCTGAGCCAGCGCGTGTCCGACGAGAGGGAGTAGCGGGAGAGGGGCCGGGCGTGCTTCCTTGCCGGCATGAGGTCGCAGGCGCGTGCTCTCTCGCCAAATCCAACCTGGACGTCATGATGGACAGCCACGTCGGTTAAAAAATTAAAACAAAAAGGTATGGGTCAGAAGTGCGCCACTGACAATGATTATGTACCTAAAAAACCACTTTTAGATTTGATGGACCTAAGTGAAAAGCGTAAGTTGATGAACCACCCATACATTTAACACGAAGAGAATCTACCGAACATCTCCATACATAGCAAACGGCGCATACCATCGCGCGTTCGGCGTCCGATTAAGTGAGGTGCACCCGTGCTCTGCTGATGTGCAGCGGCGATCGGCGATCGGCGTTCAGTTTAAAGTGAGGTACACCCGTGCTCTGCTGATGTGCAGCGGCGACGAAGCCGAGAGTAGAGTCATATGCATACCACTGTCCGTTGGATCCCAATTCCCAAACGAGAAGGAATTCCTCGACCTGGAACAAGAGGATAGTGCTGCTACGATTGCTCTGATGGGAATTGAAGGGCTACTCGGACGTTGCCGCTCCAGCATCCGCTGTTTTACGCCGCTTCAAGTTTCTCTTTGCTGCTGTTAGCTGTAAAACAAAAATCACAGCCAATCAGAGCCGACGTCACTCATCGAGAGTTCGAAGAGCTGCAAATGAACTGAGCTCGAGCAGTGGGGCGAGTTGATGGCCTCAAGTTTGAGCTTAGTATAAAGGTCGAGCTGAGACCACAGCTAGGCTCCAACTTTCATTTGTAATTTGAAATGTGGTAGACGCACGAGCACTAGGTCCTACTCATGCTTGAGCCTGGGTCGTTTACAAGACCTGATCATGGAAAACTAAGTCCAAGACAAGCCTAACGGGAGTGGATCACGAGCCTTAAGCTTTTGTTACACCAGGCCTACCTGAATAGCGGTTTCTCTGAGCGCTCCAGATGAATTGAATGAAAGCAAAATTTTGGCCTGGGAGCCTCAAGGCCCATGTCAAAATTAAGGATTCTCTGGCGGGATCGTGGAAACCACTGATGACTGAACGCCCACCTAATGGTCTGCAACTGCTGAATTCCATGTACCGGTTTACTCTGTTCCTGCGCCGGTGAAAGAATCGACGGCAGCACCCAGACATGAGACATAGCAGACAAAGCCACGAGATCAGTATGCGTGCAGCGTGCTGTGCTTACCCAAGCGCTTTTGGAGCCGTTGCTCGTGCTTGTTATGGAAATGTTAAGGGCGCGATTTGCTGAATCTGCCAAACATTTCTTTCTTTCCGGTTCGACAACGGCCGTGCGAGGTCTGATGACTCTGACCTCACCTCCTCGTCATGACGACGGCATCCGCTCTGCCCGTTCAGTTCGGAACGAGTGGTCCTGAGGGAGCCAAACGGGAAGCACTCCACATCGTCGACGAGGGACGACCAAAGCCATCCGTTCATTCATCATGCACACAGCACACGCATCGTGCGCTCCAACCCCGCTGCTCACCCAAGGAGTGAGTGGGGGAGCAACACAGCCGAACCAAGTTGCAACGGGACGTTTGTTTGAGATTTGATTTGACTCTCCGACTCCGCTCATCATCTCATATCTTTCGTCCATCACAAAACAAAACAAAAAATCAACAGGAAAAAAAAACAAAAGAGCTGTACAATTTACAATCCAGCCTGTGTGCGTCACTGCCACTCGTGCGTGTCGCAGGGGTAGCACCCTTCCTGCGCGACGTCGGAGACCTGCACCCCGGTGTCGTAGACGCGGCCGGCCTCCCAATGGCGCGGCAGCACCTCCGACTCCGCCCACACCCACTTGCCGTCGTAGCCGCCGGTGACCACCAGCCGGAGCTGCAGCGGCCCCGCCGGCGCCTGCGCCGTGCTCCACGCCGGCCCGTGGTCCCGCGTCATGAACCGCCAGTTGGACGACCCGACCTGCCAAAAACAACCAACCAACCGCACACACGCGCACGACGTCATCATGGAGCCGCCGGTGAATTCGTTCGAACCGTTGCTTGCTGCTGACCTCCGCTTTCAAAACTCGTTGGGAAAACAACAAACAGCCAACACAGGGGAGAAATGTCTCTGTTTGGTAGTACGGTACTACGACGGCTCGTTTGGTCGGGAGCAACGGCAAACAGAGCATGGGAGCGTAGAGATACGAGTTTAGAAATCTCTTGTTTGATTTATGAGAATAAGAGTTCTAGTGAGAAGAGAAGGGAAGTTTAGATGATCAACTCCCACTAATCCAATCCCTAGGAGAGAGGTGGAAATTGGGTGAAGGTTGTGTTCTTGATTAAACAAAAGTAGATCCGTATCGTCCATCATAATTTACATTTTAATTTTTTCCTCTAAACCCCCATACCAAACAGATATGAATTCCCTCCTCAATTCTCTTTCTTATTTCCCTTCACGAACCAAACACGGGATTGAAACTAAAAATCAATTTCCCACTTTAATTTCCTCAATCAACTCCTACCACTGATTCCCATACCTCTTCCCACGTGTTGCCAAACACACCCAGAGTATGTGTACGAGGAAGAAATTAAACTTACGGTGGCGACGTCGACGGCGACGATGTCGGTCTGGCCGCCCTGGTACAGGAACCTGATGGATAGGTCGCTCGGCGGCCGGCTCTTCTCCACGCGTATCGACAGGTTGCGGTCCTTGGCGTACTCGCAGGGTATCCTGGGCGCACAGTACAAAATCCATCTCTTAATCCCGTCCTTCTCCCAAACAACTCTCCATCGTCGGCACGTGGGACCGAAAGCTGAGCTGACACTACGGACGGACACCGTGCTCGCGCACGGCACCGCGCAGCGACAAGGAGCGCAGAGCAGAGCAAACTACCTCTTGTACTCGACGTCGACGACGCGCCGGTCCCTGAGCCGCGCGGCCTTGCCGGTGCCGGCGCTGGCCATGGCCGCGTACGCCGCGGCGCTGAGCACCAGGCCCGTGCGGTTCGACGTCGTCCGCGCCTGGTCCGTCACTACCACTTTCGCGCCCGCCGCGCTGCACAGCTCCGTGTCCCTGCACCGCACCTGCCAATGCCATGACAATCCTTGCTTAGAATCCAAATTCGCCCACCAAGAAAACAGACGAATTGCCGACAGCTCCGGCGGACTAAGAAGGCACCTGGAAGCAGGCACCGCAGCCGACGCCGCCCCTGTACAGCTCGGGGCTGGCCGCGGCGAGGAATCCGCCGTTGAAGGACGCGGCCAAGGAGCCGTACCCGCACAAACCGGCTGCGCAATTCATTCAGCAACCGAAAGATGAATCGATCAATTAATCTTGCACGCCACAGAAACAGACACCGAAACGCGCAAGGCAGCGAGCGGCGGGACGCCTGCGTAGTGCGTACCGTTGAGGGCGAGCGAGGAGGCCCGGTAGGTGGCCTTGGAGCGGCGCACGCAGAGGTCGCAGCCGTCAGCCTGAGACGGGGCCGCGAAGAAGACGACGACTAGTAGGAGCAGCAAGACGAGGGGCAGGGACGCGGCGCCTCTCGTGACGACAGCCATGGACCGATCGAGCCCGAGGTCGAAGAAGGCTGGAAGCAGTTTTGCTTCCTAGTTGGGAGAAGAGAGGAGGGGATTGTTGGGCACAGCAGGATCGCCGGCTGGCTTTATGCGCCGCAAGGTTGCCTGCCTGCCGGCTGATGACTAGTAGAACCAGAGTGAAACTTGGTGCTGCCCTCCTCCAAGGCTCCAACAGGCCGCAGAATGTTTTGGACACGGGACGCGTACACGTTTGGATCTTTGGGAGGGACCGAAGCGCGGCGCCGTGGGACGGATATAGCGAGAGGGAGGTTGGTTCCTCTGGCCTTCTGGGACAGGGCCACAGGGGGCGACGGGGGTGACCGACCCCCGGGACACGCGTGCTGCAGGGCGAGGGCGTATCAGCGAGGCGTCGGATAAACTCCTTCGGACAAAATACTCGTGGCTCGTCAACTCGTTTGACTTGTGGCTGGCTCAGCTCGATTTGACTCGGCTCGTTTTTACGAGTTGAGCTGAAAATCTAGCTCGCTATTTTAACGAGTCAACTCAAGCCAGCTTGCGAGCTGCTTACGAGCTAAGGCCTATCAGCCTATGACCATGAGTCAGAAGATGATGATGCTGACCTAGAAGTGTACATATATTCTATTGTTACGTAATCCTTATTTTCAGCAGTCTCATATGAATTTTAATTTTATAATTGTTGTGGTACTTAAATGTTGATTTTATGGGTTATTTTTTTAGGGAGAAGATGATAGTGCGGACATTAAATATGTGGACTTTTCTAAGTTTATGGTGGCAAGTAAATAATTAGTATGCTGGAACTGCACGATCATTGATGGACCAGCTATGTTGCATGGTTGATACTTTTGATGAATCTGATATGTATTAATCATGTATGGTTGCATCCATCTTCTAAAATTAATGTAGCATAAACATTATAAACATGTATGTCCTATTTTTTTAGTAGCTCGCGAGCTAAACGAGCCAGCTAGAGCTCGGTAACGAGCCGAGCCGAGCTGCACCTCTAACTCGTAACATTAATGAGCCGAGCTATAACACCCTCGGTGTTACATCGTAAATCATTTACTAAAACATGTCATAAGCATCATGTTTATATATTAATGCATGTGACAAAGTGTGTAGATCAATTTCTATAACTCAAAACGATCAACAGAAATGCGAAACGAAAGTTTATTCGATAATCATGTTATATCACTTAGAGTTTAAAATCAATTTTTATTAAGCAAAAATGCTATAGAACATGTATGTGATACTTAAATAAAGTTTGAAGTCCAAACTTTTTTTATAGATGACAATAAAATACTTGAGGTCGAAAATGATATTACTAGCTAATATTTTCACTAGCTTAGAAATCTCAAATGGAAATCATATTCACTTCAAAAACTTAGAGATTTTCAAGTCTACCAATAGTTAGACACTGCTATGTTTAGCAATTTTTGTAGAAAAATTGGGTTAAGGAGTGGGTAG